TATGAGAAAGAAGGGGTACGAGCAACTAGACGAGCAGCAGAGTTAAAAGCTTTACTTAAAGGATAGAGTATAGAGTCAGGAAGACCATAGTAGAGCGAGTTACAATAATCAATCCTAGATAAGACTAACGAAGTAACAAGAAGGAGAAGAGTAGGATCATCAAGAAAAGGCAAAAGTTTTTTTATTCTACGTAGATGAAATTAAGAGCTTCTAGCAACACTATTAATCTGAGAAGAGAGAGACATAGTAGAATCAAAGATAAAACCTAGACTACGAAACTTATGAGAGACATCAAGAGTTTTAGAATCAGGTAAGATAATAGGAGGAATAGTAATAGAGTGTTTAGATTTATTAAAACAAATTAATTCAAACTTAGAAGGATTAAGTTTAAGACACATAGAGTCAGACCAAGCGATAATTGAAGAAAGACATAGAGATAAATTATGAAGAACACTATTGAGATTAGATGGAGGAAAAGAAGTATAAATGTAAGAATCATCAGCATATTGTTGACTAGAGAAAGAAAAGTTATTAATAATACGAGGTAGTTCAGAAGTATAGAGTCTAAATAGAAGAGGGCCAAGGATAGAACCCTGAGGTACCCCGAAAGTAAGAGTAGAGGAGTTAGAAGTAGAATTATTGAGAACAACAGAAGAAAAACGATTACATAGATAAGAAGAAAACCAAGATAGACAAGAATCAGTAATATTAAAAGAAAGATGCAGCAGTCTCAAGAGAATAGTATGGTCAACAGTATCAAAAGCCGAAGAAAAGTCAAGAGTAAGAAGAAGAGTAAGATTACTATTGTCACTAGAGAGAAGGATATCATTGTGTATTTTATCATTGATGTATTTTATCAATACACAAGGATATCATTGTATATCATTGTATATACACAACCCCTCAGAATGATCCAGTGACCTACGGAGATTGTCGTTTGACTTCTCAACTACTTGTTTCATATGTGAGTCAAATTTCACAAACAAATTTTCAAGGTTGTTTTTAGATATGGAGATAACTTTTTCAACATTTTTATTGAACTTTTCCAAGAGCCTGTCAATGAGTTTCAACATGTTTTTGCTAGATTTTTCCATGACTTTGGTTATCACAATTTCCAACGATTCTACAGTTAAAGGAGCCATTATTACAGGAATCCGTTTAACAAATTGAAACTAGCTTGCTGGCTAATTTGGAGATAGGCGCACCTAACGGATTACGTTAAATTAATAAACGTACGCTTAACAAAAAGTTCGAAATACAAATTTCTATTATTTGGAACTAATTATAGCATAAACCGTTAGAATTACAAGGGAAAACCACACGTTTTAACTCGGCAACGTATTAATAAAATAATTTTCGAGAAAATTTGCTCACAACCGTCCGCCATTAACCAAAGAAAACAAAGTAAAAATCTTTTACAAATTCCAGCTAAATTTATATTTTTGTTACAAATTTTTTTCTGCTTTTTACAACTTAAGTAATTTTTCTAAAACAACGCTTTTGCCATAACATGAATTAATAGTGACTGGTGTCACGCTTCGATGGTTTTAGTTTCAATTTCTGCGTTGGTGTGAATTGATTTGAAGACCACGCTGACCAATGTTTGTTTATGTAGACTACAAGAAGTGCTAAGAAGTGAACTAAATTGTTAAATTAGCGTTAAATTATTCAAGATTGAATGTTTAACAAGATTTTAATTATTCCATAGAGCCCTTGCTCATCAAACAACAACCACCTGAGTCTCTGGTTGTTGACTGTGGAAGCAAATTAGAGATTGTTTGTATCGCTGATGGTTTCCCATATCCTGAATACGTATGGTACAAGGAAAACAAAAAAATATTTTCTGACAAGGCTGGCAGATATGTCATCAAGGAATCTCAGTTGATATTTTGCCATTGTTATTTATTTAAAATATTATGTTTTTGCAGTTGAATTTTTATTAACATTTAATAAAATCTTTGAAACAATTTAAAAGATATTTTATTATTCAACTTTTCGTAAACGTCTATGCACTGATATCAAATTTCTTTTACTAACATGGTGATAGAAATTTGTTTATTTGCTTTCAGGACATCTGATGCTGGAATGTATACGTGCAGAGTGCAGCATCATACAAAACAAGATGGATGGCTGCACGTGTTTTCTACGACTTGTTCGGTACTTATTAACAAAGTTAACAACTGTAGCGTTAAATCAAGTAATTTTCACTTTATAACATTACTTATCCGTTAATTTACTATAAATTTATACAATGGAAACAGTTTAAAATTGTGATTTAGTTTTATCTATTTAACATAAAAATTTAATTTAGATTCAGTTTTAGATGGAGTCTCATATTCGGTAAATCAATTTTTATTTCTTATTTGTCATTGCTGTATCGCCATTATTTGACTAAAGTTTTAAAATATTATACCTATTCAACGTGCAGAAAACTACCAACCAAGGTTAAATTTAATATTTTTTATATTGTCTTACTATTAAATAGTAATCAACCAATATATATCTAGAAAAAAGTTAGTATTGTTATTTTACTGTATAATTAAACTATGTATATCTATGTTGAACAGGGTTGTTAACGATACTTTTGAAAACGGCGATACCGATAGCGAAATTGCAGCCGAAATGTATCATTGATACCGATATCGATATTAATTTTTGATCGGTATCACCGATAGTTTTTAGCAATAATTTTTAAACAAAATTTACAAACTTCTTAAATAATTTTTCAGGAACAGATAAATTATTTATCGCCATTACAAAATAATTATAAAAAGTGATATTTTAAACTTGATTTGCAACGTATCGGTTTCGAATATCGACAGCTCTTAAATGTATCGGCGATAACCGTTGCGTTTCTTACATAAAACAGGGTCGGCGATATCGATGCAAAAAAGTATCCGCGAGATTATCGACGCGATGCTGTTACTTCGATATTAACCCGCTGTTGAGCACCTGGGTCTCGCATTTTTAGTGTCATTATCACTCGAGCTTTCGTTAACCAGCAACGGTTTTTCGATAGTTAACATACTCAACTTATTACACATGAGCGCCATAACGCATCGTCATCTGAGCATATGATTGGCAGGTGTTTCATTATACTTGAACATGGTCAGTGCAACATGGGACTCAGCGCTTTGAAAAATTTTTTTTTTGATATCGGTACAAAACAAAGTTAATTTTTTTAAATTTTGATAGCCATACGAATCAGTTTTAAAATCTAAACCAAGAAAAAATTTAGTTTAATTTTAAAAACAGCATCTTTATTTTGATAATAACTTTTTTATATAAATTTCGAATTTGAGTTATTGATCTTAGAAGTTTTGCTCAAAAACCTGAATACTATAGTCGGGTCGTTTGGTGAAAATTGCATGGTGGGAGTAGAAATCTTTTGGATTTAGAATCAGGATGTATGTACAAATGTATGTTTTAAAATCAGATGGGTTCAAAGTTTGAAGATTTTGTAACATTTACGTTGAAAAGCCTTGGAAAAGACTTTGTTATAATTTATAAATAATGTTTAGGTTGGCATTAACAATTTATTTTGAATGTTTGATGATTAAATAATGTAATACAGTTGAAAAATAATAGACTGTTTTTATCATTTATTTTTATTATTCAATTTACATCGGTATCTTATGAACGGGTTATCATTTATTTTTATTATTCAATTTAAATCGGTATCTTATGAACGGGTATCTGATAGTATACTTTCAGCAAATCTAATTTTTAAAATGTCTTTTTATAGTTAAGTTTAGCTGAAACCCTCTGAATGTTAGGAATAGGATACATATCTAGTTTAGTGATGGCGTTTAAACAGCGATAATCTCCGCAGGCTCTCCATTTTCTAAATTTGTCTTTTCAATTTTCCTTGCTAGAATTTTTTGGAAATTTTTAAATTTGTTAAAAATAGAATTATGCAAGTTCATCATAAAATTTAGTGAAACTGTTGTTAACCAAATTCATAAGGCAGATAAGGCCTTTTTTCGAGTATTCACAAATCATCTTTAGTGCATGTTTTGTTTTCAAATTGGATTAGCGTCACAACTAGAGTTCGGTGCTGGGCCCTCTATTATTTGTTGTTTACATTAATGATATCGACTCTGGCATAATGTCAAAGATATCAAAATTTGTGGACGACACGAAGCTGTGTGCAAAGATTAACAACGAGGAAGATGCGGAAGTACTAAGACAAGATTTGACAAGACTATACAAATGGTCTGAAAGTTGGCAAACGTTATTTGACATAGACAAATGTAATGTTATGCATATGGGAAGAAAGAACAAAGGTTTTCAATATCAACTCGGCAGTAAAAACCTTCTATCTACAGAAGAAGAAAAGGACATCGGAATCGCTATTCATAAAAGCACGAAAACATCAGGACAATGTACTTTGGCAGCAGCCAAAACAAATCAAATACTTTGATGTATTATAAGAACGGTGGTGAGCGGAGAGAAGTCAATCATTATAAAATTGTATAAGACGTTAGTTCGCCCTCATCTCGAGTACTGTTCATAGGTTTGGAGTCCAGATCTGCTAAAGGACAAAGACTTTCTTGAACGGGTACAGCGTAGAGCAACAAAGATGATCGAAGGAGCTGGAAAACTAGAATATAGGGATGGACTGAAAAAATGTTCACGCAGCACTCAACGGACAACAGATGAAAACGAAAACAAACAAGGATAAAATTATAGTGAGACAAACAACAAGAATTTGTTCGTATTTGACATGCAACAATTCAAGCAGATGTTCGCGGAAATGAAAACCGAAATGAAACAACAAAACGCTGAAATGAAGGCTGAAATGCAAGCTAATGCCGACTGACAAGAAGAAAAGCAATCGGCTGATGCCGACCGTCGAGCAGAAACAAGTGAAAAGCAATTCGTGGAAATGACGGCCAAGATCGATCAACGGATAGCCGAAATAAGAGAAATGAAGGCCGAATTACGAGCGGCCAATGAAATAACACGATCAACCTTTGAGGGAATACCTCCTAACGAAGAGACTATACCAGAAACGGCTACACAAGGGTCGGTAATTATTCTATTCGTAAGTAATAAGTACTCAGTTTTTGGTACTCAGTACTCAAGTACATTTTTCACTGAGCACTTAGTACTTATATTTAAGCACATTTTCTGGGTACTTACATTATTACTGGTTTTGGGATAAGCTATCCAGCAAGCGTACCTTATTCGATGAGCGTCAACAATTAAATTAAAGTAATCAATTTTTTTCCATTTTTATTGAACAATTGACTTCACGAGATTGTCTCTCTGGTAAAATTTCATAAAGAAACGTGAAATATGAAAGCGTGGTGTTACTAAAATGCTCTGGCGAATAAATTTTAATACGGTGAGTAAAATTTCCTGTTGATCATCAGACTTTTTAATTTTTAAGTAAATTAATAAATAAATTAATAAATTAAATGTAAATAATAAATGCAAACAATGCATTTTAATAGAAAGAGCATTTAAAATTTTTTAAACAGCGTTTGTTGGTTTTACTGTTTAGTAAGTGCTGTAACTCTTTTACTCAGAAAATTTTGCAAAGAATAATTTCATTTTTTTCTACCCACCATGAATATGTAAACTTTTTATTGTCCAAAAAATTTTAACCCGCAACCTGATGCTTATATCGACCCGTCTCATTCATAATAGCACTACAGGAGGAATGTAAATTTTTATCTAATGCAAGAAGAATGTTGTTTTATTTTTATTTCGTGTATTTGTTTCATGGATGTTGACATTTTAGATTGAATATTATTATCTATGTGTAATCTATCTTAACTTTATTTCAAAAAACCTGTTAATTATTGTTTCATTTGAAATAAAAATTAAGCGTTGCCCTACTTTAAAATGACGAGACGCAGATTCTTGTTATATTTTTTATTTTTTAGTTATTATTTTTAACATTTTTCTTAAATTGGAATAAGTTTATACTTTTTTGGTTTTTAATTATTTAAATAAATATATCGCAGAAATGTCAAAAATGGAATTATCCTGTTAGTGATTAATTTTTAACTTTTTTTTAACACATTGCTTTTAATAAATATATTTAAATGAAAATTACGAGCAAATAATAAGAAAAGAAACAAACATGAATAGATGCAGCTACTAATTTTTAAAATTTTTAAATACCTAGAACCAAATTAAGAAACTAAATAACTACAGGTCCTCAAATAATTGTCCAGCCTACTTCCCAGTCGAACAGTTACGGAGGTCTTGTTATTTTTAAAGTTAAAGCCCAACACAGAGTACACAACCATGAATGTCTCATGTATCAATGGTTTTTTAACAGAGTACCAATTATTGGTTTGTAAAATTTGTATAAATCGATTTTTTACAATAAATAAACATTATGAGTTAATGCCAGATTACCATTAATTTTATTTATAGTAAAGTACAACATTATGTTATATTTGTAATGCATTGTATTCAGTGAGCGTATAGAGTTTTCAATTAATGAATAGCTGTCGATAAATGAGAAACTTTCGGAGCACTCGTAGTCGTATTTTTTCATCGGACTCAGAGATGAACTTTTGTATAATTTTATCATTTTATTTATGTTCTAAATTTTGTTTTTCATGTTCTTGTTTTATTGGCATTATCTCATCTGTTATAGTGATAACACGTTACCAAATGCTCTATTTTACTAATTCTATTTTTTGTAACGTTTTTGAAAAAAGACAAAATTAATAATATTATTATATATTTTGTTAATTTGTTCTTTATTAATTAAAATAGGTATCAACAATATTCACACAGCTCATTTGAATACATGCTCTGTTTAGAAGGTTTCTGGGTGGCGTCAGGGAGTTTTGTTGGTCAAAATACATGCATAACCTTTCAACTTAGCTGTTATTCGAGTTTATGCGCGAACGTCTGAAAGCAGTAAAGAAGATCTTGCTTTTTACAGTGATCTTGATAATGTTTTAAAAACATACGGTTTTCAAGACGTTGAAATTATGATGGGTAACCTGAATGCAGTTGGCTCTGAAAAAATAAATGACGTGGTTGGTCCTCACGGGATAGGTGAAAGAAATGAAAGAGGAGAAAATTTGTTTGAATGGTATGTTGCAAATGATAACATTTTTACCAACACACAGGACCAAAATATTGTTGCAACCCTTGACGCTCATAACTACCAACACCAATGTTATAACTTCAAAGATTTCTATATTTTCAATACCAGTGTTGTAGCTTCCAACGATCGTCAAGTGTACTATATAATAACACCGGACGTATTACAAATTTATAAAGTCTTGATTTTAGTGATAGTGGGATGTCACGCCGCATCAATATAAAGGCAACGAGATGCTATTTATTCCAGGCTGCACGTAATCGTGCTTGAACGGCAGCTTCAGCTGTTCCAGTACAATCTAGAACATTCCCTAAATATTGAAACGATGTAACTTTCTCTACCTTAATGGCTTCAAAAACATTGCTATTTCGTATTTGTTGTTGTAGATTGATGCAAACAGGATAAAAAAAATTGGACACTTTAGATAAAGTACCAATTATTTTCGAACAACGTTTATGACACCATTGGTTACACTGCTGACACTTGATACTTGCTGATACCGATGTTTTTCATACATATATATAAAACACACACACACAAACACACACACACACACACACACATATATATATATATATATATATATATATATTGGGACGAGGTTTTCAGCTATGCAGATTTCATTGAATATTTTTGCCCACTTCGCGTTAATCGCGTTAATTTACTTTTTAAAAATACACTCAATGAGTATTGTTCGACGTTGGATGCATTCAAACCGGCTAAGGCGCAGTTTTTGACCCGACGTCCTGAAACAACAGTCGTTACGTCGTTAACGATTAGAATAAAAAATATATAAGTTTCGAATAATTCTGCTAAAAAAAGATATTGACATCAGTTGATTACGAACTTTTTATATATATATAAAACAGGCTATAACGCGATTTTAAATAGCTTTGGTTAGTGTTTTTTAATTTGCAATGCTAAAATTGAAATAAAAATGAAATCGGAGTCAGGGTAGTTATTCCAAATGTCGATGTCTGAAAATTTTTATCAGTGAGTCGATGTCCTGCTTGAAAAACTTTGATCTTATTCCGACACTCCGATTGACTCCAAGAAACCCGTTGATGACCTGTTCTTTGAGTTTTTTGTAAAGTATCGGTTTAAAAGTTTCTGAGAAACTGACTGAATTTTGAATGAAAAATAGGGTAGCATAATTATGGCGCTTTTGGAAATGTTTGTAAACCCATGAATTGTTGAAAATAAATTATATCCTTAAAATTTTTAATACTTTATTTAATCGTAAATTGTGTGAAAAGTCAAAATGAATGGAGTGAACTGGAAGTTGAGAGCTGTGAAATGTTCGCTCTCCGGATGGACTCTTGGTGGCAATTTTTGTTGATGATCAGAATCGAAAGGTTAGCATTTTTTGATGGACCACTGAAACAAAACTGGAAATGATCAAACGAGATATAGTAGGTAACCCGGCAACGTTAACAATAAAAACTATGCTATGGTGGATGGAAACATTGCATCAACTAAAACAGCAAACTAATTCGAAAATTTAAGCGTCAAAATCATTGAGTTGATAATCTTGATAGTAAATTCAAGATTTTAGCTGATTGACTAATTAATTCATTAATTCATTTATTCATTAATTAAATCATTCTTTTTCGTTTGTTTTATACTGAGTTTTCATTTTTGAATTAATCTTCAATGTAACCAATTAATTAATTAAACAAACTTCAAAATAAAAATCTTATGTTTCAAATTATTATTCACATTTATAACATGAAAGGTGCGATACAAAATGAATTACGGTTGGACGATATAAGGAGAGAAGATGAAGGCAGATATCAAGTGAGGGTCTTCTGCCAACGAAATCAATCTAGCGAAATTCTATCAAACGAAGTTGTTTTGGATGTAAAAAGAATTCCCAACCAATATACTGGTAAAGAATTTAAGTAACATACTTTACGTTTAACTTTAAAATATGCAAAGGTATTTATAACGGTTTATCAACATTCAAGTAATTTTTTCAGATCAAAACTGTATTTTTGCATTTCATCAAAAAATACTTGAAAAATATCGGTCCAAACAACCAGACTAATATGTGCTCATGTGGCAATCCACGCTTTTGCCATTCTGCAGAAAACATCCAACAACGGACTCGGCCGTATACACGATGCTTTATTAAGAAATTCATGAGAGATTTTAATTTTTGTTTAAAAACTCTAGAAATTTATAGCACTAACTTTTTGTTGGTTTCAGCACCTGCAATCCAAAATGATAAATGTCAATGGTAGGTGAATTAAACCTCCTTGCGTGTTCACCGGCACGTGTTTTGTCAGCTCGAATGATAATATTATGGCTATCAGATGTCATCTGATCCAATGCTATCTTAAACATTGTTATTTTGATGAAGAAACATTTGTAATTTATGGAGAATGGTTCTCTTTACTGTTGGATTGTGAGCACAACGATTATCAACTCCCGCATCTGAATTGCCCATAAAATAAATTTGTAAAAATTGATAATCTGCATCTGGTACTGGTAACAGTGTCCCCAGTAAATGACAACTTTGTCCTTGTATTTGTAATTTTTAAAAATTTGTCGATTCATTATTTCCGATATATATATATATATATATTTTAGTATATATATATATATATATATATATATATATATATATATATATATATTGTGTTCATGGTGTGATTAATAGGACGGACGCAAGCACGGGGTTGAGTGGTGGTATTGAAAGAGTGGAAAGCTTTGTTTACTTAGGGGATAAGCTGAACGCGGATGGAGGATGTTTGAGCGCAGTTACGGCTAGAGTTCGTGTGGGATGGATGAAATTTAGGGAACTTGGTGGGGTATTGTGTGGAAAGAAATGGTCAGTGAAGGTGAAAGGGAGGGTATATAAAGCATGTGTGAGAGCAGCGATGGTATATGGTGGTGAAACTTGGGTGTTGAGGAGAGAGGAGGAAAGTGTACTACAGAGGGCTGAAAGAGCTATGGTGAGGATGATGTGTGTGGGTTAAAGTGAAGGATAGGAGGAGTAGTACAGAGCTGATGTCAATGATGGGACTGAATGAGGACATTGTGACATTGATAAGGAGATCGAGATTGCAGTGGTATGGACATGTGTTGAGAAGGGATGAAAGGGTCGGGATTAGGCGAGCGTTGGAGTTCGAGGTTGAAGGAGTGGTAGGAAGGGGTCGTCCGCGATTGGAATGGAGAGAGCAGGTGGAGAAGGACAGCGTGAAAGCGGGGTTGCGTGATACTGAGGCGAGTGACAGATGTGGATGGCGTCGAGGGGTATTTCGGTTTCATCATAGGTAGCCAAACGGTAACCCCCGATCTCGGGGAAAATGTCGTCTAAACGTGTGTTGTTTTTGTTGTATGTATATATATATTTTAGTACATACCGAATATTATAGAAAAATATTCTGGTATAATACCTTGAAAGTGGGCATGAAATTGTTTTGTATAATATGTATAGCGCCAAATTATGTCATTTGAAAACAGCTGTTATATTAATGAATGTTGACCAAGAAGTGTTTAGAATCGTTTCCAATCCCAGAAACTAATGATCGTAAAGGATCTGGTGGTGGGACCAATTGTGGCAATTTTACTTTGCCTACAGCACAACATAATCCAGTAGATTCATGGGTGTATTTTAACGTCTTACAATATTTAAAGATTATTTTCATTTCACCAATTGTTACCGATTTGTCGGCACAATAATCTATTGCCGGATCATAGTGGAATGCAGCTTGTTCAAGAATCACAGAAGCACTCGGTCTGCGGACTCGCTCAATTTTGTTATGTCGTGCTTGCTGTTGTTGTGTTTGATGTGCACAAACTCGTTGCATTCTAAGCATATCTACTTTATTATAACTCACTAAATAACTCAAATCTGACATAGCAATACGACTATTTTCTTGACCTGTCTCTCTCACTCTGGTCATCAGTGCGGTTAGCACGTGAGGTAGCTCTTCGCACATTTGATTGACTTCGACTACGTCAGGTCGTCTTCTCCTCGGCATCGTAAATTGTAAATAATCAAAGTGTGAAAATTTCTCGCTCACTTAGCAGTAAAGTGTCAGAATCACAAAATATCCAAAGCACATTACTCTGAATGTCACTACCAGAAAAGATCAACAATGTAAAGAAAGTTCTCGCGCACTCATAGACATTGAACTAAAAGTGGATACATAAAAAAATTTCTTAAATCTTTATTTAAAAATAACTTTATATGAACAAATATAAGATTTGACAAACCCGCAAACTTTTCTGAAACCCTTAAATATCAAATTCTTGGTTTAAAGCTTATAGTTGTCAATATTAAACTATGAATTTAAATACTTTACATTACAGTTTTTAGGGTTGCTCATTAAACACAACATAACATCATAATTATTAGATTTGGCCAACAGAATTTACATTTTTTTTCTTCAATTTCACAACCCTTATGTTTCCTGGCATGTTTCCTCTATCTATATCTATATCTCTTTCTTTCTCTCTCTCTCTCTCTCTCTATATATATATATATATATATATATATATATATATATATATATATATATATATATATATATATATATATATATTATTGGTAAGCCATTACCTTGTCAGTAGCCTGCCAAATATATATATATATATATATATATATATATATATATATATATATATATATATATATATATACATAGATATATATCTATATATATATATTTTGGTAACAGACTGTTGTTAACGCAACATTTCAAAAATTCAACACTACTTTCAACATTGTTCAACTTTTTTATATTTCTTTTTAATTTATTAATGTCAGAAAAATTAGACATTTTATTGTTTTAAAAATTTTATTAAATAAATTTTGCAGATAGCTATTATGAGTTATAGATAACTCATCTTCAGTGCATTATATATAATGTAGGTTAATTTATATAAATTATTTAAAACAGAAAACGAATAGAATAAATTTAATAACATTAAACAATATAAAACGCGATTTTCAAAATTTTTAACGGCAAGATTGTTTATATTATGGTTGTTAAGGTTAAATATTCATGTTCGAAGCTGGTACAAAATTACGTATGTCATCTGTAGCATTAGCAACATCAGTCACTCTATTCCATAGATTTAACAGCTCCCACGATACAAAAGATATAGATTTTGAGGTGTACTATTAATTTTAATTATTATTAATGTTAGTTTTGGTTCCTATTATTATTATCTTATTATTTTACTTTTTTATTTATTTATATTTATTTATATTTTATATTTTGTCCTGGGTATGACATAAAACTGCATCCACGCTGCCTTGCCTGCTTTTGAGCGAAAGGCTAGGCCCACCGCTTATAACTGGTGGTTGTCGTCAGGATGGGTGTCCGGATGTTAAATCTTTTCCCCAAATTATTCCTATGCCATCACAAAGAAAAACAACGGCCCCTAGTCCCCAGCAGGCCTTAAATGGTCAAGGGATGCCAAGAATCCCTGGGAAGTATGCAATAGCGGAGGGATGCTTCAGAAAAATTCAGAATGGCCCCTCTATGGTACTTAGACTTAGAACGCTCAATGTTGGATCACTGATAGGCCACAGCATGGAAATCGCAGAAATGCTCGAGCGTAGAAGGATTGACATCTGCTGCCTTCAGGAAACCCGATGGAAATCGAATGGTGTCTGTCATGTCAACTCAGACAAAGAAAAATATAAACTATTTTGGAATGGTCAAAAGACGGCCAAAAATGTTGTTGGAATTTTTGTCAGAGAACCGCTAGCCCAAGAAGTACTGGATATTAAAAGAATTAATTCACGTCTCATGTGGATCAAGCTTCGCATAGAAAAGCAAACAATGATTTTTTCTGCATGCGCACCACAGACAGGCGAATCAGAAGAGATGAAAAATGACTTGAATTTACATGCACTTGAAACAACGTATTTGTGTGTTTGTTGTTTATCTCTGAGAATTGTTGAAGAAAGATTAGTAATAATATTAATGATAATAATAATATATACATTTATCGCAGCTAGGAACAAAGTTGCACTGATCATAGGCAATGCATCGTATCGAACTTATGGTTATCCGTTGCCAGCGGTGCGACCCGACATGTTCCATACAACGAAATTGTTCGAAGAAATGGGCTTCAAAGTCATCTCGCTGCTCGACCTTACACTCAGTGAAATGAAACGAGCTGTGGCTTGTTTCTGCAATTTATTATCAGAAAACTCTTATGGTTGATATTAAAATATTTTTTAATGGATAATTTGTTACAATTTGTTTATTAATAATTTTTTGGTTCTCCTTATCAAACGATAAACGCATAACATCTTACATGTCAATGATGTCATTCTATACTTATATATAAACTTTTTTGCCGCAATGGTGCTACATCCACATTAAACTACGATAAACTAAGAACAACCAACGATGAATGCTGTTAACATAATTTTTGCACCACACGAAGCGGTGGTAATAAATTTTTTTACATTAAACAATAAAATACAGTGATCATGTATTTTCTCGGGCACGGTTACATGTACCAACATATGCACTGCTTAATTCCATGGGATTCCAGTTTGGGTAATGATGTTAATGAATCGTTGTGCATTGAGAATTGCATCGAAGATGTGCAAGTCAAAAAACCTAAATTGGTTTTGGTCCTGGTTGATATATGCAGACAACAGTATGTTATATTAATGTTTTCCATAATTTTATATACATAATGACGCAGTTTTAAATGATGCTTTATTTATCAGCATTATCAGCTTTATACATCGTTTTCTTAATGTTGTGGTAATCTTTTAACTTACGAGAATTAGCGAGTGAATGTTTTTTTTTTATTAACTTGTTTCTGACTTTGTCCTGCGTCTGTCTGTCCCTTCCTTAACTTTTTAATTTTAAACGTTGCGAAATTTAGTTGAAGGTATGTTTCAAGGGTTTATAAAAACAATTTTTCTGTAAAAGAAAAGGCAAATTTTGATATCTTCAAAAGAGATAAATATTTTTATATTAATTTAAATTAATTTAAAAAAATATTTGTATCCATGCGAGTCCTAACTAGCATTTAGATTTAAGAGCTTGAACGCATAAATGCAAGGTGTAGAATGGCCTTTTGCCAATTTTTACCAGCTTCCGATGCACCTAGCGATTTAGTTTACAATATAATTTAACTCGATTTATGGTTTTATTTTATCCATATGAAATATGTAAATAATATAATTAAATAATATTAATATACAATGAAAATTTAAGAATGATAAAAATAAAATTGAAATAAATAATAAATGGAATAAATTTTATAATTATTTTCAGTTATTAAAAACACTTTAGAACATAATATTGATATGCTATCCAATGAATTATTTTATTCAAAAGTTATTTTTTTATTATATAACCTTTTCAGTCTTGTATAAAAACTTCAATCAATCAATCAATCTTCGTTTAGCGTCCAGAGACCCAGTTTCCCGAGGTAGGACGTTGTTTTCTTTGCCATAAACTTTTTGCTTTCATATCTTGCTCGATTGTTTGCGACCAGGACTTCTTTGGACGGCCTTTGGGATGTGTGCCAGGTACTTCAACATCTGCAAGAGAAGTTATAGCACTGAGATGTCATTTATTCCAGGCTACACGTATGCATGCTCGAACGGCAGCTTCAGCTGTTCCAGTACAATTTAGAACATCCCCTAGATATTGAAACGATGTGACTTTCTCTACATTAATGGCTTCAAAAACATTGCTTTTTCGAATTTGTTGTTGTGAATTGTATAAAAACTTTTTGATCAAAAATTGATCGATTGAACAGTTGACTGATTGATAAATTTATTGATCGGTTTTAAACAGCTTTCCACTTTTTTTAAACATGTGGTCCTTCAACTAATTCGTTGCATCCATCGGAGCATTTTTATGTCGGTTCGTTGAAGTTGTTGTTCCAGTTGGGTTGTCATTGGCCATGTTTCTGCACCATATAACAACACCGGACATATCACAGATTTATAAAGTCTTGATCGTAGTGGTAGTGGGATGTCACTCCGCATCAATATAGAGGCAAGGAGATACTATTTATTTCAGGCTGCACGTATGCGTGCTCGAACGGCAGCTTCAGCTGTTCCAGTACAATCCAGAACACAGAAAGACAACATCAAATCTACCGAAATCATGCGCCGTTCTAATTTAGATGATATAGGACGAATGCCGCCAACACCGTCTGTGGTGGTTTGATCATGTCAAACAAAGTGGAAACAGTGCCATAATTTCTCTTGCAGATGTTGAAGTACCTGGCACACGTCCCATAGGCCGTCCAAAAAAATCCTGGTCGCAAACAATCGAGCAAGACATAAAAGCTCTTAATTCAAATGAAATGGATACAACTGATCGTCTAATTTGGCGCAAAAAGTTGATGGCAAAGAAAACAACGTCCTACCTCTGGGGAATTGGGTTTTTGGATGCAAAACGAAGATCGATTGATTGTTACTTACATTTTTTGGGAATCAGTTGGAAGCAGAAAGTAAAGAACGAAACCGTCAGAAATCAATATGAAAGACAGAAAAGTGTGTTTGACAAAGTCAAAGAAATAAAATTGGGTTTTTTGGAATACATTTGTAGAATGATTGATTAAGATGGTACTAATGAGGAAAAGAGATTGGAATAAAAAAGTTGGTAGACCTGCAAAGAAATGGATAGACGACATTACTGAATGGTCTGGTGTTGGTATTCTGAATTCAATAAAACTGGCCAAAGATAGAAAAGGTTTTTGGAATGAAAAAAGGAAAGAAATGTAAAATGCATGCTTATATGTACAGTACACCATCGGCTTCGACGGTCCCCTGACGGACAAAGGAGAATCATTGATAGATTGATTCATATTTTATAATATTTTTTACAAAGTAAATGTTTTTCGATGACAAAATTTTTTTTTTAGGTTTAATAGACTAAACTGTTAGCTTTATTTAAAATATATAAAACGTAATTATTTGCAAAAAGCGAATTCTTTTTTCTCTTTTCTATTGAAACTTTGTTTTAGTTTTGTTTTATTTTTTTTAAATTTGTACTATTATAACTTTTTTTATTTTTGATGTATTTAATATTGATTAAAAAAAGTTTTTCAGTTTGTTTTATTTACTTATTAATTTATAGCTATTTCAATTTAATTATGCGACCTCTAGAGTGGAACATTCCCGTGAATCACAATTTGAAACAAAACCATCCAGCCAATGTAGTCTACCAAATTTGATAGTTTTATACGCTGCGTATGTTTTTTTTATGTTTTTTTTTACTTTCAATAATTTACTTGATAATAAAGTGTAACGTAGTGCCTCCTTATCGCTCCTATTACTTTTTTGGTCAGGTATATTATTTAAATTTATTTTTTACTATCCACGTTCAACTGACTTTATTTTTGAGTTATCTTTTCATTTTACACCGCTGTTTGTCTCACTGTGGGCTTTTTAAATTGTGTAAAATGTAATTTTTTTTCCAAAAAGCAAATTATTATTTTTTTTTTTAAATTTTGTTTTTTTTTAATTTTTTTACTTTTTACTATGTTAGCGTATTTTTTTTTAGTTTTTGATGTATTTTATATTGTTGAAATTATTTACTGCAAAACATCTGGGTTCGTCATAAACTCTGGTTTTTTAAATTAAATGCTTAGCTGATTAGAGCTTCGTTTTTGTTAAATCAATAAAAGGAGTGTTAATGAAAAATCATTTGAAACGAGTTCGCGTGGACTTTTCAACCGCTACTTACTGGAAGTGCTTGAAGAACCAAATGTTAGTTTGTTTTACTATAGTATGTCATTATTTGCATAATACGTAATTGTTTTCATAATATATTAATGTTTCTATTATGTATAATTGTTTTTGAATTTATAAATGTTTTTGTATGTATAATTATTTATATATTATATGTTTGCTTTATTCAATAAATGCAATTAAAAAAACTGCTAATAATTTCAAGTTGCCAGGATAAAGATGTAACTGTAAAAGTTTTAGATTACTACATACGTACGTGCGTACGAATTTTATTTATAAAAATGTAACATTCCACTATCTTATTTAAATGTTTCTGTTTAATATTTTTCAACAAATGTTAGTTTTGTGTTCGCAAAACCAATGACATTGTACCTGCATGTATGTGTGTATTACACGTGATTTAAAAATTTTAATTATTAATTACATTAAATAAAATTAAAATGTAACATGGATGCATGCATACATACATACATACATACATACATACATACATACATACATACATACATACATACATTTGGTATTTGTACCGGTCTCCGCACAGGTTGGCAGATTTAGATTTTAAGTTACAAATTCGTATAAATTCGTATTTAAAGTTATATAATCATATTTATTTAAATTCAATTAATTATAATTATATATTTGTATTTAATCTTAAGTTATACATTCGTGTTTAATTTCAAGTTATAAAATTATTTTTAAGTAATATAATTTAAGTGGCACACAGGTGCATGGTTTTAAAGTTCTTTTTTTACAAGTTTTTAGGTTATAAGCCATATGTACAGTTTACAATAATAATAACAGTTTGCGTTGTTGGTTTCTGAATGTCGAGTCAAGGACATGTACTCAGCACGACTTCTCTCACTCTGTGCCATGTGTGTTATAAACATTTTAAGTTGAGGCAGGATGGTACTCTCGTTAGACATGGTGGAAAAGTGAAAGGCTCAAAATGTCCGGGATCTTTAAAGCACCCACCTTCTAACAGGAAACAACGAAGGTCGCTCAATGTCGTAAACGCAAACATTTCAAAGACGAGTGAAGACTCGGGGGTTCTTGATACTGCTGTCGATATGGGGGGTAAATCGTCACTGGCTGAAATTTTTTTTGAAAAATCATCTGGCTGTCGGTTGATTGACCATGGAGGCAGTTTCCAAAAGGAACCTCAGGAGGTAGAGACGGTCCAATTCCACAACACTTAAGGAATTTAACACATGATAAGATAGAAACAACAGAACTCATCTGTGCCATGACCGGTTTTATCAATCTGCTGTTGGGCGGCGTTTGTCCACCCGAGGTGGTTCCATACTTGTTTGGCGGAAGATTGGTGGCCTTGTCAAAGAAGGACGGTGATGTCAGACCTATTGCCATTGGATGTGTATGGAGACGCTGGGCGGCAAAATTTGCGTTATTGGTCATCAAGGACAGGGTGGGTCTATTTCTCCAACCTCAGAAGGTCGGTGTCGGGATTAGCGGTGGAGCAGAAGGAGCGATACACGTTGTCAGGCGATTCGTCAATAATATGAAGGAAGATGAAGGCTTTCTAAAACTTGATTTTTCAAATGCTTTCAATTCGATTCGTCGTGACCATATGCATCAATGCGTCAAATCTCGGCTCCCAGAAATTTTCAGTTTTTGCTGGTTGGGGTACGATGCTGATTCATTTCTGTCTATTGGTAACAGCATCATTTTTTCATTAGAAGGTGTGCAACAAGGAGATCCCTTGGGACCGTTGCTTTTTTTCGCTGTCGATCGACCCACTAGTAAAGGCATTTTGATCTAAATTTGTTGTCGCTTATTTGGATGATATTGCGTTGGGTGGATGTGTAAAGGACCTAATGTATGATGTGGGATTGATAAACAGTAATGGTCGTAAATATGGTCTCAAGTTGAATTTAAAAAAATGTGAAATCACTACAAATTCAACAGTTTTATCTTTTGCCCAAACAAATATTGAAAGAATTGAGATGAATGAACTAGAATTTTTGGGTTCGATCGTTTGTAGAGAAAAACGCCATGATAATTTTTTGACTAAAAAGCTGGTGGATTTTAAACATATTATGTCAATGATGACGGAGATTGGCAAGCATGATGCCCTTGTCCTGTTGACGCAGGCAGCATTCATTCCAAGGCTGTCATACTTCTTACGTACCTCTTCTGGCCCGTCTCAGGAAACGTCAGATGAATTCAACAACGAACTGCGCATGGGTTTTCAGACTATATTTAATGTTTTTTGAAGATAAAGGTTGGAGGCAGGCTACATTGCCTAGCTTGATTTTTTTCTCTCATTTTCTCATTTCACTTTATTCTTATCTCACACACACACACACACACACACACACACACACACACACACACACACACATATATATATATATATATATGTGTGTGTGTGTATATATATATATATATATTACAATATTCTGTAAATTCTACCGAATGTTTGGCGCTAATATGTTTGTAGTTCGTTTTTTCAATTTTTCTCACTAAAGTTTTTTGTTGAACGTTTAGTTTATTAAAATTCAAAATAAACTTATTTTCCGAATTCATGCTGCAAATAAGGCCATATTTCGATTCCGAATGAATCATCATCAGTGCTTTCTGCTGTTTATATAAGGAAATATTGACTTTGTCAAAATGAACTTAGATTGAGATTGACTTTGTCAAAGTGAACTTAGATGGAAATTAGGTGTCAGGTTTCTTTATTGGCTGGTCTTCTTCTTTGGTCTCCTTTTCTTCATCGATAGCTTCATATTCTTCTTTGTCACTATTTCTAAAACTGATACGATCTATGATTTGATTCGTGATGGGCTAGATATTTTCGTTTTAGTCGAAACTTGGCATGGATCTTTGAATAACATTTCTGTTAAATCATCAATGCCACCAGGATATAGTTATGTTGATTTTTTTGAGGATAAATGATCCTCATCATGGGGGTTTAATTATTTACTTCATTTAAGTTTAAGAAAATAGATTTGCCAATATTTAGTTCATTTGAAGCACTTGCTGTTAAATTATTTATTAGCAACAAAGATTTTGTTCTATTAGCCCTCTACAGGCCAGGATCAGTTTTAGTTAGTAATTTATTTTTTGAAGAATTTTTATGTTTACTAGAAAATATCACTTCGTTTAGTTTAAATATCATACTTTTGGGTGATTTCAACATTCACCTTGAGAAACAGGAAGATCGTCATACTGTAAATTTATTGAAAATATTAGAAATGTTTCAATTAAAAAATTTGATCGACGAACCGACTCATGAACATGGAGGTATACTTGATCTGATTATTTGTTCTCAAGATTTTCAGATTTCAGATATTAAGATTTTTCCCAGTGGGACTTTTTCAGACCATAGTTTAATTCAGGTTAATTTACCATTAACTCATAAGCGTCCTAAAATAGTCAAGAAACAAGTTAGATCCTGGAAATACCTAAATGAAAGCAATCTCATTAAATATGTACAGACTTCTCCATTATCAAGGTCTTGCCAAAGCAATAATATTAATATTGAGTTTGATATGATTAGTTCTGAACTCAAGAAATTGGCTGATGCAGTTGCTCCACTTCGTTTTGCAGAAGTCAAATGTGATGTTAATGCTCCGTGGTATGATAGTGAATGCAAAGCTTTCAAAAGACTTTGTCAAAAGAAAAAATTACAGAAAATATCAGACAAAGAAATGTAAAAATGAGTGGATAGCAGCTCTGTTTCACAAAAAAGAAACAGTTATTGGAAAAGACTTGTTGCAGATAATAGTGGATTTTCTAAAAATCTATAGAATGCTATTAATAAAGTCCTTTGCAATCAGGTCACTGGTCAGTCATTGAGTGAAGTTGTTGGTTTAGATTCGTCTCAATTCTTAAAGTTTTATAATGATAAAGTAAATAAAATTAAACAGTCTACCAATGTGAGTAATTGATCGACTATTTGTCAAGCTCAGTACAATGGGAATTGTTCTTTTCCTGACTTTATGCTTTTAACAGAATCTGACGTTAAGAAAATTGTACTCAGTTTGCCATCAAAAACATTTATGATAGATGTCACGTTGTTTACATTCAAATGATTCAAGAGCTGTTTGGCAACCACTCGTTAATATAAAATTTTGTGACAAAGCAACTAATCTGGGTTTCATTTTTGATTCTAGATTATCGGTGCAGGATCATATAAAGATGATAACAAATTTATGCTCCGGACAGATTCGAGAACTCTATAAACTCCGTAAGTCATTAGATAAATCTGCTATTCATACCTTGGTGCATGCATTTGTTCATTCACGATTGGACTATTGCAATGGCCTGTTTTACGGTTTGCCAGATAGGTCTATTTCTGCAATTCAATCCATTCAGAATAGAGCAGCCAAATTGATTGTTGGAGGTCTCAAATTTAACCATGTTACTCCAATTCTTAAGGGCCTTCATTGGCTTACTATAAAGAAAAGAATTAAATATAAAATATGTATTTTAATGTATAAAACTGTACATGGTTTGTTACCAAGTTATTTGATAGATAAAATAAAAGAGAAGTCTATAATGATGAGTGGTATGAACCTTAGATCAGATGATGGCATTTTACTGATTGTACCTGATGTCCATCTGCAGATAGCATCAAAAGATTTTGAAATAGCTTACCGAGATCTTTTAGAACTAAAGATTTGAAACTTGATGATTTTAAAAAGAAACTTTAAACTTACTTTTTTTCTCTTTGATTGTACTTTTTTCTTTTTTGACTTTGTTTAACTATAGATAGCGCTTTTGAGAACTTTTTGATTCTAATTAGCGCTTATAAATGTTTCATTAATAATAATAATAATGGTAGATCATAAAAAAGTTTTTATAAATGACGTGAATAGCGATATAATGTTGCTCTAGCATCTGTAAATGAATTTGGTATAACAAAAAAATTGACTATACCTGCCGCCAGGGGTCAGAAAATATGGGCTCTAGTCTAGGTTTTTGTCAATATGATCGCGATACTATAATCGCCGGGTACTTTACAAAGCAAATTTTATATCAATTTATTCTTCAATAACAACTTAATTTTACAATATTTTAAAGCCACATTTCTTAATATAAATATAATTAAAAAAAAGTTAAAATATCAGAAATGACAACGAATATATTGTGGATATCGAATACACATCCATGTCAAATATTTAAAATATTTGTCACATGAACCGAATTTAATATGTTCAGGTTACAATAAACAAAGTGTACGGGATGTTAAAGAAAAAATTTCAAAATTGTCCTTTTGATCCACTCAAATACCCACAAAGTCCAGAAATGAGAATCAATCTTGAAGATCCAGATAGAAGCTTGTGGGATCCTATTGATTCGGATAATAAATTTTGTTCGAAAGAAGAAGTTCTCTGGCAACAAATCCATGGTATCTTATTTTTTTGACAATTGTAAAAAAATTTCAATAAAAATCTTTCACCATATTACTTTTATTTTTAAGTTCAATTCGTTTTGTACATTCACAGACTCTGCAGATTTGTTATTTCAGATTAGCCTGCAATGAGTTACTGATTTTACGCAGTTTACCTACATAATATCTATTATTAAATAGATTATGATGACTAAATTGATTAAATGCTAAAAATAAATTTATTTTGTGCAAACTCCATTTTTAGGATCGACATTTAACTTCCACTCATTCTATGGTTTTACTACGCTATATTTGTACCCATTACTTTTGAACACATTACCTTTGATCCCAGTCACTTGTTCCGTAGTTTAATCTAATTTCGAAATAAGTTTTGTTTGATATTGTTATGCTATTAATTATGATTATGATTATTGTTATTATTATTGCTATTATTATATTATAAACCTTAATTAATTACCCTTAACCTTTAATTACCTAAACCCTTAATTACTTGCATTGAAATCAGTCCTTAATAATCAAGCTGACACAATTTTGCATTATATGATGGCAACTAGGATATAACAAAAAATAAACAAAAGCATAATAAAAAATAAACGAAAAACACACACAGAATTATACTAAATAATTTTAATATTCTGTATAAAAAATAATTTTAATATTCGAAATTAAAATAGTTTATTAATTTCAATTATCGGGATCGAAATAATTTAATCTTTTAATAATCACAAACAAATGTAGCCTGGTCAAGTTTAGTCGAGACCATGTAAATAAAATAATTTGCAGTAATTGTACAAAGTGTGATAAACAAATAAGAACAGAAATCTAACATTCTGTTAAAATACTAAAAAGGTAAAATTATGTTGCCTTGGACATGTGTTAGTAAGTGTAAAAAAGGTTTGGCCAAGCAAAAATTACACAACCGTAAAATTGCGTTTAACTACGAAGTGTGTGCCAATTCGAAGATGTGTACTGTACATGTACAATTACGAAGATGTGTACTGTACATGTACAATTACGAAGATGTGTACTGTACATGTACAATTACGAAGATGTGCACAATAATGAAGATGTGTACAATTACAAAATGTGAACGACTATGAAGATGTGTACAACTAAGAAGATATGAGCAACTAAGTACGTCGGTTTTTATAACTATAAAGATGTGAACAACAATAAAGATGTAAACTATGAAGATGTGAACAATTTTATAAAGCGAAAAAATAGAACTAGAACTGATAAAATTCAAAGTTTAATTCAAATTCAAAACTCGGAATAATGAAGTTGACATGAGATCAACATTAGATAACTATGATTGGTTTGAACAAAGCTTGTTTAGGCAGTATACAATCCAGGCGTTACAACAGAAGCGAATAAGAAATTAGTAAAAAAAATTTTGAAGTTTTTTTTTGAACAATAATTTTATTTTTAAATAAAAATTATAATGCAGTTTCTTATTTGAAAAATTACTCGATCATAAAATAGAACAACAATTTGATTTGTAAATAAAAATTTTATTGTAGTTTTCTTATTTGCAAAATTAAAACAAATAAATGTTTGTTCTCAAAATAATTGTTCACAAAAAAGCGGGTAAAAATTATTATACTTTTTTAAGTTCAAAGAAAAAAACTTTTTAAAAGATTTTTTATTGTTTTATATTTTATTCTTTTTTTCTCTCGAAATAAATTTTGAAATAAAATAAAGTAGTATATACACTTCAAATTTATTAGCAGCCAACTGGTGTATAAACTGAATTGTAATTTTGTACATTTTTCATCCAGTAATTCCAAAGAATGTCCATATTCAACTTCCGGATAAAGGGCTTGTAATACTATCCTTCATCAAAAAGTTATCAAA